TTTCAGCGTCTCTCTGTTGATGTGCACAGTAAGGAAGAGGCAGAGTTGCTTGCTAAAAGATTCAAGGCTGAAGTAAGCATTAGTACAATGAAAACTGAACTCTTTCTCAGTCAACATTTTCAGGTACCAGCTGAACTGACCGTTGCAGAAGCCCTCAAGCAAGGTCAGTCACCAGCAGTCATTGACGCGATAAAGCGGGCTGAACTACGGCGTATCAGAGAAGACGAGGCATACACATGTGCAAGGTTTCTCAATTTTCCAGAACTATATTATTTTGTTTGCCTAATGGATTGCTTGAGACTTCCCTCATTAACGCCATATCAACTGTGTTTGGCTTCGCAAAACTTCTCGTTGCTGCTGTTTTGAGCTAAATTTTTCAGAGCGAGGCCGTTCGAGCGGGCTCAGTTTCCACCCAAACCGAGTTTACCTCGTCGTGTCACTAATCCCGCTACGCGTACTCCTGTGGCGGTTCGTCGTCCTGCAGTCATTGAAGGAGCGCCGCTTCAGCAGGTAAGTCTCTATATTACCTTTTTCTTGTTTTTATTTTAACTGTGAATCTAGCCGTCATCTTCACTAGCGGCGAATGCCGGTGGACCGATCCCTGTACGTCCTCCACCAAGTGGTGAATACCATAAAATGCTTCAGATCCCTCAGCGAAGGTCACAACCGCCACATCGTTTTGTATCGAAAGTAAGTTTGATGCAGTTGTTTTGCTAAATATGAATAAAAGCAGTTATCTTGGGAGTTTTTTTCACGTTGGTTTGAAGTTACAGTTACATGAGTGAGTTGTAAGTAGTGAATCAAACCATAATGCATCTAGCTTTCTTGTTAGTTGGAACTCCGTCACGTTTTTTGCATTCTAACATGTGTTTGGAGCAGTTTCTACATCTTGATTGACTAGCGTGTGCTTTGATAATCATAATTTATCCTTTCAAATGTTAATTTTAGGATGTTAGACCAATACAATACACTATGGTACAAACTAATGATCCAAACTGGTCCGCTAATTCGTCGCCTATCACGTACACCACTGCGATCGACGAAGCT